ATGTCGCCGGTTAACCTTGTCCGCGCCATAGCCGCAACAGTGAAAGCATTTGTTATGAAACGTCTCAGCATTAAAAAGAAAGTAGCCCCATCGTGCCCGCGTGCTCAGGCGGCGGGCCTTTGGGTGATCAGTGCTAGGACTTGGAGTTTGTGGATTATCTGTGCCAAGGGCAGGGGTTTGTGGACTATCCATGCCAGAACCAGGAGTTTGTTGGTTATCTGTGCCAAGGACAGGGGTTTGTGTATTATCTATGACAGAACTTGAGGTTTGTGGATTATCCTTGCCAGGATTAGGGGTTTGTGGGATTATTTGTGCCAAGGGCAGGGGTTTGTGGATTATCTGTGCCAAGGGCAGGAGTTTGTGGATTATCTATGACAGAACTTGGGGTTTGTGGATTATCATTGCCAGGATTAGGGGTTTGCGGATTATCTGTGCCATGGGCAGGGGTTTGTGGGATTATCTGAGCCATGGGCAGGGGTTTGTTGTTTATCTGTGCCAAGGGCAGGAGTTTGTGGATTATCTATGACAGAACTTGGGGTTTGTGGATTATCCTTGCCAGGATTAGGGGTTTGTGGATTATCTGTGCCATGGGCAGGGGTTTGTGGGATTATCTGTGCCATGGGCAGGGGTTTGTGGATTATCTGTGCCAAGGGCAGGAGTTTGTGGATTATCTATGACAGAACTTGGGGTTTGTGGATTATCCTTGCCAGGATTAGGGGTTTGTGGGATTATCTGTGCCATGGGCAGGAATTGTGGATTATCCGTGACAGGATCAAGGGTTTGTTGGTTATATGTGCCAGAACAATGGTTTGTGGTGTATCTGTTGCAGAAAGATCGGGTTTGTGGAATATCAGTGAAAAATTACGGGTTCGTTGTTATCATCGTACATCATAGAGCTTGGAACGTATTACACACAGACCCAATCAATTTTCCTTTAAACAGAGTTTTAGTATTTTGACATGGGTTGAAGTGATGTGGCAGTGAGTAGTGACACTAGAGGCGTTAGGCGACGCTCGCGTGTCAGAATGTGGCGGAAATACACAACTCAGGAAGTGGATTTAGAGACTAGACATGAGTACAGTTGCATTGGTCTAATGACTTATCCCTAAGGATTATAATTTAACATCAAATAATCATTAACCATTCATAAACATAAATTAAATATTTAAGTACCAGAACCAAATATTGGCCCTGAATACATAAACTATCACTCAAGATTGTTGATCCATAATTCTTGATTTAGGATTTAGTGTAAAATTTTTGATGGCAAGAATTCAAGAGCCAATTCTCTAGATATAGGATATAATACAAGATCAAATCACCCTGACAACTGAATCGCGTGTCTTAGTGAACGAACATTCAATTTTCAAATTTAAATCTACCAGTTGTGTCCTAAAATGCATTTGATCCAGTTTACACCCATACGTCTAAATGTCCGAAGAAGATGTACAATCCCGTAATAAGCAAATCACTCTATTATGCGAATACAAGTAGTAACTTCACAACATAACTACGTACGTTACGGATATAGTAGGAAAATTATCGATTTACACGATTGTTAGACAATTTCGTTCTACTTCTGATTATCTAAATCTCCAGGAATGGTGGCAAGTCTGACCCACAAACGATTCCTCTTCCACTGGTGTTCTCTCCGATTAGCAATCTAACTCCGCCATCGACCTCGTTGTACGTTCACTGCTTCGATCTCTCCTTATCTCCATTCTGTCACACATCCCCAGCCGGACCAACTACATCCGGGCGAATGTTTATGTAGAGGAAACTATGCACCGAGATGAATCTATATCCATTTGAAAAATCAATAATTATTAGAAAATTAATACATCCATGCAATGTGTAAGGGTAGAAATCCGTTTTCTGAAAGGAGACAAACATCGAAGTATTGGAGACAAACAACAATGATTACATTAAGGTCGATTCACAGTTCCAGTTCCGTCACCTTCAGATTCCAGTCACAGTTCCGTTACAGTCTAGTCACAGTTTAGTCTCAGTTGCATCCGAAATTTCTCAGTCAACTTTCCGTCAATTGGTTTCAGTCAGTCTTCCGTCCCTAATATTTACAGTGATGTTACAGTCAAAAATTTTAAATTATCCCTATATTCTATCAAATTATCATAGTCCATCTTGTTGATTGTTACAAACATTACTCAAAATATAAACATAATCATTTATAAATAACAAAAACGGTATTTTCTAACCTCAAACATATCCGTCAGGCGTCCGAACAATCCAAAAATGTACACAATAGTAAATACATTAAAGAATATTTTTCTAAAATTTTCAGTTGAATAGTTTAACAGAGTTCCAGTTTTAGAACACTATAATTTACTTTTGAGTTTTTTTTTTCGATTAGCTAACAAAACTGGGTCTTAAATATGATTGTATTAATAAAACAACAAACTGGTAGCATACTGTGAGAATCAATGTTTAAAGTTTGAATGTATGGACTGGTTAAATAAAAGTGAAAAGCTATATTTTTAGGAGTCAAATCTAACATTTTTTAAATATATTTTCCAGTTTTTAACTAAAAATAATTTTTTATTTAAAATACTATTTGTTAATTTAAAATATCAAAAATGTTTATCTCCGCTGAAACGAGGAAATAAATGTTTTAATGTAAAAATTTGTTTTCTGAAGAAAGGCCAGACACCTCATGATCTACATAAAAATTAATAAAATGGATGTTAAGGTATTTAACTGATTGATTGGGTCACCGGAAGACTGCCCCCGGACAACTACCCCCAAGTTTCGTTGTCAAACTATTCTAAACTAACCTAACCTAACCAACCAAACTTGCTGTAACATTTCAAAATTCTGTGTGATATTCCCCACATGCCTTTTCTGTTATCCAACGGAATTACTCAAATTAAATTACAATTACATAGCATCACATTTTGCTAGGGGGGAGATAATATTCCAGTCGCGGACACGGCTCTCATATTGGTTATTTGGCAGATTTCGTGACGTCACGTTTCACCTGGGGCCCTATTTTTGAAATGGTTGACTGTTGAGTCAATCGTCAGCACTCAACTCAACCAACAACATGATTTGGTATTTTTGAAACCCAACAGTTGGGAAGCGAGTTGGGAATCACTAGTTGAGAGACTCGTGGTGGAAATGTAGAGCATACGACCGTCAAAAATTCAGATGACGTCATTTTGAACCAATCACAATGCAGAGTTCTTGTGGACTTCAATTTAACCTCTTCTTACTCTAAAATCTGGCAGCTAATCTCAATCTGCCATATTTCGAGACACTGAGGTAAACTGTCAACTCCGTTCTTGAGAGATTGAGATTGAGGTTATGTCTTGCTTAATCTTAGTGATTGCAAAGTACCTTAACTTAAGTAATAAACTAAAGTAAACTAAATAAAGTAATAAACTTAAGTATAAAAAATAAAATTTACCATGGATGTTTGTTTTAGGGTGTAGCTAATTATAAGTTTAGGCATAGGCTGCACTTTACTTTAGGTCCTACACTCATCCTAAATACATTATTATTTGCTTTCTTCGTCTCTATTTCGGAACACATCACCTTATTTTAGTTTCCTTCATCGGTTTGTTTTATGTTATTTTTAATTGTTTTTTATTTAGGTTAAAGCGGCTATTTGCCATTGCACTGAAAGCATATCGTAACTTAAATTAATTTGATCCCTTTATTAGGTGAATGGTATTGAAACAAACTATGATATTGTTTCTCTCTACCACAATCTTTAATACCTTAAATCATAGGTCTAATAACAATAATTATCTTATAATAAGTTCAATTAGTATGCCTAGTCTATTTCAAACATTCCAACAAGAATAAAACCCTTGATTAAATAGTCTAGTATTGACACAGTAAATAAAATTAAAATGCGATTATTCTACAGAAAACAATCGCATAATTGGGTGCTAATACATTGACAACAAATACATAACCTCTAAATCGCAATTAGTAAATTAAAGCAATAACAAAACAATATGGCGTCGTCTCAAAAAGAGTAATTTTTTGCCGAAAGAGAGGAAGAAGAAAGTGCAGTCAACCTTCACTCAACAGCTCGATAGGTGTTGAGTAGTTTTGGTTGTATAAGTCCACCGTCAACCGTTTCAAAAATACGAAACGATTGGAAATAGAATGACTCGACACTCAACTCAACAGTCAACCATTTCAAAAATAGGGCCCCTGGGGGTGGTTTTCCGGGGATAGTATCTCACATCCCCGATTGATTGACCTTGAATCATTTTAAGAACGTGTTTATTTTACAGCTATCGTATCTCTAGAAACAAATAAGAGTAAGCAAAAGGTACATTTTTAAACAGCACACAACAAAAATGAAAAGCAATATTATTATATAAACAACAATACCGACTTGAAAAGCTCTTGAACTTAATTAGCTTTTTGCAAATGAGGAAAGTCTTTGTTATTCATGGCTGTTACTTCCAAAATCTCGTTAAGACTTTCAAATTTAAATACAAAATACATATATTGTAATAGGTTTACAGTAACTTAAACAATTAGTAAACATCTAATTAGTAGTAATTAATTAATTGGTAGTTAGTAATTAGTAGTTCATATTTACCGTTTGAATGATATTCACAACTATCTAAAATAGTTCAAACAATGTTGTTGAGTAAAGTTTTTAGCGTAACATTGCACATGTCAAAATTATTATTGCTCAGAAATTCCTCGTTTCAACAACTTCCTCCAAGGCAAGTGACATTATATACCCTCCAGAAAGTTAATCCTAATTTCTTCAGGCGCGTGAGAATCTGCGAAGTATTTGGGAGCTCTAGAAATTGACAAGATTATTATTCAAGCGGTCACCCTTTAGTCAGGCGTCCCTAAGAGGGTAATTTGGCAGACACAAAAGGCTTTAGAAAAGTCTTGATGGGAGGTTGAGCCGTTGAGGTTGACGATGAAAACGAAAGCAGAGTCGAAGGAGTCGCTGGAGTGGGGTGGCCTTGAGTGAAAGTGTTGAGTTCAGTGGTGTTCTTCTGACTGAAGGATCAGGACATGATGGGTACAGTCGGTGCTGCTCATGAGAACATAGTAAGTACACTCTGGTTAGATAACTGTAGACCATGGGATGAATGCGAGGAATAAATCAAAAATAGGTGTAGGAAAAACTAGCTCAAGAGCTGGAACTCATATTTAGTTTAAACTCAAAATCTAGGGGAAAGCCTCCAATTCGTATGTAATGGTAAAGCATGTAATAACAGTATCATAAATATTTCCAGCTAAACGTCTAGCCGAGATTAAAGTTACCAAGAATATTATAAAACAGTAAAAGTTGTTGTCCTCTCAACCAGTTTATAAAGACATTTGATATCCTTTAAACTCATTCATGCAAGGGGTTCATAGAAACATTAATAAATTATATTACGATACCCTGTTTGATGAATCAAAGACTTCCCCTGCCCCTAACCTCTTTATTGCTGCAACCATAAAAAATTTAATAATCGTTCTAATCAAATGTTTGGGTCTTAATGACTCACATGTTTCCCTAGTCAAATTACCTGTACTTTTAAGTGTCCTCTTCTAGGTTCATCTGTTAAATATGATTTATACCATCAGGAAGTTGTTGTAAACATTTAGTACCCTACACAGTAAGTTTAACTTGATGTGGGTATTATGAAGTTGCGTTCAGTTTCATCAATGTTAAACGATTAGTGGCCGACCGCCTTGGTGAACCAATCTCTTACCATAGTAAATCAAAATAGTTCATACAGTGTTATTCGTACGGAAACAAAACAAAACATATAACAGAACAGATTAAACCCACCCATTATACAGAGTGTACAGAGAGTATTGACTTGAGAACATTGAGGAAGAAGTCTCCTACACGGACCAGCTGTAAGGCTGTAAATATAATGATTAAAGAACATAGTCAAATAATCATTTCATAGATCTCGCCACTGTTTCCATTTTACTTTAATCCTTAATTTATAATACTTCAATAGTTAAATATTACATGAAGTTGAAGTTTCGTTTGGCTAGGTTAAAAAGTTGAAGCAGGCTATCCGACAAAATCGGTGATACATCAACGATCATTTTCACACTAAGGAATCGGACGTATATTTTTATCATTGGGCTAAGGTAATCTCGATGGTGTATAAAATAGTACCACTAGTACATAGAGTGATACTAACAACGCATAGAGTAATATCGTCAGATTGCACTACAAGAGTAAGGAAAGTTGCACAGTACTTCCGATGGTGATAACAACTTAACCATTACGCCAGCCAGCGTCATGGCCGCCGTTGCATCACATAGTGATGCGCTCACACAACATAACAAATAACTTTCTAGTAATCCAAATGTTAGCTAACGACTCACTAACTTGTTACACTTCGGACATGCAATGTGTTGGGTCACCTTGTGTCCACTCATGTTTGCGTTTACGTTATTTTCAACAATGCACGGCAGGGAATGCACGGATTAAAAATTCTGCTTTATGTTTAATGTCAAATCAACGTTAATATCTAGACTCCTAAGCAGGGCCAAGTTTTTGAACAATTAAAACCTAGGATACATTCATTCTACTACGGAATGAAATGTTTCACCTTCCAAGCACTATTAAAAACGCTCAAAGTAAAAAATTAAAAAAAATATCAAATAGTGTTTTTGTATTCAACCATCCCCCAAATGATAACATTATATGTTGTAAAAAAAATACTCTATGAAGTTTAAGCTGTTCTTCGTTTTGACATGCATTTGTAGTATTCGTGACTGGATGGTTTCCACAAAATAAAAATTCTGTTAGTCATAGTGTAGCGATAACGGCGGGTTTCAATACATACACTGAAGTCGTAAAGAAGTATTTCCATGGGCGATAAAGAATCAGTAGTACGTATCTGACATTAAAATTCGTCCACCAATTTAGCGGGAGAAAATAGTCCCGATTGGTAAAAATATCATTTTGTCGTAAAATGTGTTATTATTATCTTCTCATATTGCTTGTTTCACTCAAATAACTTAAAACATTTTCCCTTCAACTAAAAATAGGCTAATGTAACGAATTTGAGTAGATTGGTGTGTTGGCAGAGTAATACAAGTTACTTATAAATAACGGTAACAACTGTTTGCATACAGTAACGAAACAAGATTTAAATAGTTTGGTGGGCAATTTTAAAACGTAAATAATGTACGCAATCATTGTTTTGTGATTTACTTAGCTTAAATAATCAATCCCGGGAGCAAGACATTTTACATGATTATTTGATTGACACGAACTCAGCGCAACAATTTTGGTCGTATTCAAAACCGGAATATCCAAATTGCTTAACATTTTTTATTGATATAGTTAGGGAAACAAAAATATTATTAGAAATGGGTTGAACATAACTAAAAAATTACCAAACCGTCAACTCAAATAAACTATACTAAAAATAAAATAACGCATTTACGGAGTGACCAGTTTCGGAGTAATGCAGTAGCTAATATTTCGAAGTAACGCATTTTCGGAGCGACAAAGTGTCGGAGCTGTGCAGTAGTTATTGGTGTTGAGGTGTTCGTTAGAGAATCATTGTACTGTACTAACTAGCTTGTCACTTGCCACTTTAACTGAACTACTGAACGTCCAGGCTGGACATTTGTCAAACAAGACGTCACCTCAATGGTTGCTGACCGTTTGTTCAGCGGCGGACCCTAACCTAACCTAACCTAACGACTGTACTAACTAGTTTGTCACTTGCCACTATAACTGAACTACTGAACGTCCAGGCTGGACATTTGTCAAACAAGACGTCACCTCAATGGTTGCTGACCGTTTGTTCAGCGGCGGACCCTAACCTAACCTAACCTAACGACTGTACTAACTAGCTTGTCACTTGCCACTATAACTGAACTACTGAACGTCCAGGCTGGTCATTTGTCAAACAAGACGTCACCTCAATGGTTGCTGACCGTTTGTTCAGCGGCGGACCCTAACCTAACCTAACCTAACGACTGTACTAACTAGTTTGTCACTTGCCACTATAACTGAACTACTGAACGTCCAGGCTGGACATTTGTCAAACAAGACGTCACCTCAATGGTTGCTGACCGTTTGTTCAGCGGCGGACCCTAACCTAACCTAACCTAACGACTGTACTAACTAGCTTGTCACTTGCCACTATAACTGAACTACTGAACGTCCAGGCTGGACATTTGTCAAACAAGACGTCACCTCAATGGTTGCTGACCGTTTGTTCAGCGGCGGACCCTAACCTAACCTAACCTAACGACTGTACTAACTAGCTTGTCACTTGCCACTATAACTGAACTACTGAACGTCCAGGCTGGTCATTTGTCAAACAAGACGTCACCTCAATGGTTACTGACCGTTTGTTCAGCGGCGGACAGTGATTTTACTGTGTAAAACATATACCAATCTCCAGTGACTATTTAGAGCATTAATCTTGTTTGTAATAATTCTAATACACAACTTAAGAAGTGCATTTTTGTGTATAACATCTGATTGATTGGTGATTTTCGTGCATTCGTCAGGTTCTTCTGACAAAAATGAATATAGTACTCTCCGTTTAAAGTAATTTTGTCGTTAATGAAACTGACTTTAATATCAGCAGCGTTTTGCCGATTGTTATTTTCCTCCTGGAGGTATTTTAAGTCCAGTACAATTAGACTACACAAAATCGATATGGTTTCATCGTCTGCGTATCTATTACTATTTAAAGTATTTCAATCATTTGTACAACATTGCCTAAGTACGGTAAAGTACATATATCACCTTGAAACAATGCTTTTACAATTATTTTATGTTAATACAAAATTCACATAAACTTATTAGGTGCAACGGTCAAAATCGTAATGAACATTGCAATTTTCTTAAAATTAAACTCACAAAAATGCAATATAGTTAAATAATTAAATAGATAAATAAAACATATAATTTCAACAGCTAAACCTTTCTAACGTCGAGGTCAAATTAAATATTAAAAAATTGAGCGAACCATTTTTTAACCAGATATTTAAATAACTGTTTATCTTCATGTAAACAACCTTTATTTTCCTGTATATCTAAATCCTAACAGACCATTCATAATGGTCGATTGTTCTGCTCAAGTGTAGGAACATGAATGACAATTAATTTTAAGGCCGTTGTCGATAGCAGCGACGCACGCGCCGTCGCCTCAGCCCCATCCTTCCCTTCACATCATTCACTTTTCCTCTTCATTAACAGTGAAAGTGTTTAACACTATTCGTGCTATCGACATGTTTGAACATAAAAGTTGCATTTATTTCAATGTTAAGCAATTGCGGGAATTCCCGTCATCAGCACCCAACGTGTTAATCAGCTGTTAGTCGCGGCACACGGGATATTCCGTATTTTAGGATCCACAATTTGCCGTTCTTTCATATATTTGGGGTTTGCAGACATTAAGTAATCAGCTGTATTTGTAGTTTTGTCCGTTCTGACGACAATTCCTACTGTAATCAATATATTTCTAAACAACTACAAACAGGGGTCAGCTGTCGCCAAACGCTTTTTTCAAAAATGCCTGAAATGGGCGATTTAAAGTTATCGCACCCTGCAACATAGCACCGAAATAAATGAAATTCCAATGAAATTAGGCACGTTAAGGGTCTATTTTTAAACTATTAGAATGTCCGTGGAATATATTCAATAACTAGTGAATATGTAGATTTAAACCCCCTTAGGAGGCACTAAGTGCTAATTTGGTTGTTACTATGTTCATATGTAGTATTAATAATGGTTTTTTTAATTCTCGATATGACTAGCCTCACCAAAGAAAGTTTATCTTATTTCTTCCTATTCTCGATAGCTCCGTGCCGCGATTCGATTGTTAAGTAGATTAGTAATGAATCTTTCCATGTAGTTATTCACATACCAAATTACTTTCATAGAGTTAGACAAATTTAATTCGTCCATTAATTATTTTAATTAATACAGAGAACAAAACAAGTTGCAAATATTCCAAATTGTGACATGACGTGATTGAACTCGCCGCAACCGCAAGATTATCATTGGTCAATCGTCGACCATCTAGCTCGGCCTAGTTTGTCTGGCTATCATAAAGATCTGTTAA